CTCTCATCCGTCTTCCCCTTCTCTCTCAACAGTAATGGCGTCGCCCAGCACACCGGCGCCACCACCGGTCCTAAACCCTCTCACTTCTCTCTTAACAATAGTAGCACCGCCCTGCACAGGTGTCGTGGCTCGACGCTCAAGATGCCACCACAGCCTCCTCGTCTCCGGCTACTGTACCTAATTTTGTGTGCATCCACTTGTTGTCAATTTCGAGAGAGAAGATTACAATTGTGATGTTTAATGACCTTGGGAATTGGCTGACATTCAGGTGTGCAAAGCTTGGGCAGCTGCTTGTTTGGGAGTGGAAATCTGAGAGTTATATATTGAAGCAGCATGGGTATTATTTTGATGTAAGCTCCATTGCGTATTCGCCAGATTCACAGTTTTTGGCCACTAGAGAAGATGATAATAAAATCATGCCCCTTCATTTACCGGTGCTTCCGTGCACGGTAGCTTGTTGCGAGACGTCGCTCGCAGTAGCCAGTGGACCCTGTGAGTTGTGTTGCATGAGCGCCGCATCGCTACACGCAGTGCAGCATACAATCTATTTTCTTCATTTGTATTTGTGTGGTGCGATATGATTTCTTTGTCATCTCTTCTATGTTTTACTCATTTGTTTAGTGTGGTGGTGATGGTTGTGGCATGGTAGAGATGAAGGAGATGGTGGATTTGAGGAGGTAGCTATGATGACTTTTGATATAGGAGGTTGTAGTGGTGCAGTGGTTGTGGCCATGGCGGTATGTTTGAGGATTTTTTTGGGTGGTTGTGGTATGGTGGAGATGTGGATTTACGGAGGAGGTGGTGGTGGTAATTGTTGCTGTGGCGGTGATTTTGTGGTGATTTTTGTGTTGATTGGTTGGTGGTGGATTTATTGAGCTTCCCGTGATGATGACAGATAAATCAGTCTTAAATGCATTCAGTTTTCGTGCTGGGACTCGAGATTTATGGATATGAAACAGTTTCAGATGCATTTTAAGAACAATTTATTTGAGCAATTTTTGTTATCTTTTTTTTTCGCTTGGATTGGATGACACTTGTGCACCCCGATGTGCATTTGTAGATCAAGTAAAATTTATTTAACATGAGATTCTTAATACTAACTTAAATTTCTGGTGATCTTATTGAATACATTCCAAATGCACCGGTGTCTCTACTTAGAAGTCTTCGTAGCCACGACAAAACATTCATCAATTGAGATTCATCATCAATTTTTCTTTTCAAGATTACAACTAAAAAATAAGCGGATAAATTTTATAACTTGTGACCAAATATGTGTTTATTGTGACTGGTTGTGACCAATTGTGATTGGTTGTGACCCGTTGTGACTTGTTAATTGTGACCCATTGTGACATGATCACATATGGTCACAGTTAAGATTCAATTGGTCACAATTAGTCACATTGAATACAATTTTGGTTACAATTAGTCACAAATTTGGGGACGGTTGAAAATTTTCTGAAATGGGGGTGGAAACGAGTGTAATCTCCAATTTTTAATTTTTCAAAATTTTTTGGGAGGTGAAGGTAGGGGTGAGGGGTGGGGTATATGAATCCATGGGGTGGGGGTGTAATTTACAATTTTTAATTTTCTGAAATGTTTTGGAGGGTAGGGTGGGGTGGGGTGGATCGGGGGGTTTGATTTTATGTTTTTAATTTCTGGACATTTTTTGGGTGGGGTGAGGACAATTAATTTTAATTAATTATATATTATTCTTGCAAAAAGAATGAAACATTCTACATTTAGTTTGAAGTCCAGTCGTCATTTTTGACTTTGCCTCACATGTGGGGCCCAATTTTCTCATTTTAATGATGTGGAAAATATGCACTAAACAAAGTAATAAATTATTAATTAAAATTAACATCTGATTTTTGAAATAAGTTAACAAGTTTGGTAATTTTGAAATGTGGGAACCATGTATTGTTCCCTTTATAATATAGCTTGGTCTTGGGCTCAGGTTTTTGGGCTTCTGCAATTTGAGCCCATTTATTTGGAAAAATAAAAATAAAAATTTGCAACACTTAACAAATGTTACAAAATGTGAACTTTTTTGCAACATTTAGCAAACGTTGCGAAAGGTCTCACTCTTCGCAACGTTTGACAAGCGTTGCAAAAGGCAAACGTTGTAAAATAAAAGCCTTTTGCAACGCTTGTCAAACGTTGCAAAAAGTCTACTTTTGCAACGTTTGACAAACGTTGCGAAAGGTTTTTCTTTTGCAACGTCGGATAAACGTTGCGAAAAATAAAACTTTCCGCAACACTCAATAAACGTTGCAAAAATGGAATCTATCACAACATTTTTCTATAAAACGTTGTCAAAACTCATTTATACTAACTAATGGCAACATTGACTTACTAATGTTGCTAAAAGACCATTTCAGCAATATTTATAAACAAATGTTGTCTTTTAAGTGTTGTAAAATAGTATTTTTTTTTTTTTTTTTTTTTGTAGTGCATATTTAACAAGAATTATTTCACAAAAACTAACAATAGACCATAGAAAGATATTAGGTCAGAATTTACATGTGTTAAGTAAGCCTATACCTAAAATCAATTAGAAATATATCAAAACCAGGTCACATTTTACCATAATGAGGTCACAAATTACCAAATTAAGTCACATTTTATCAAAAAGGTCACAAATTACCAAAATTAGGTCACAAAAATCCATTCGCATCATGCCCAGCATACTCATACACTATATTTAACATTGCAAAGCATTTAAAAAAAGAAATATGAACTATTCATACGGGGTTATACATGAAGTTTTTTTGTCACATATAATAAAAAAACAGATCACAATATAACATATTTAGGTCACAAAAAATCTATTCAAAACATACAAAGAAACAACCCTAAACTAATAGCATCATGCAATTAACGGAACCTTGAATTTCTATTGCTAATTGAATAAGTTATATACGTATTAACATGTTAATCCCAGCAAACAAAAATTCCCAAATGAAATAGCCTTAAGATTATAGTTGCAGCAAGTCACAAAAAGATCCAATAAGTATGTAAGAAAAAGAGAAAAAATCGATACACACCCATTTTGCAATTTTTACATGTTCTAGCTTCTTTCTTTCCACGTTTTGAGGCAAATTTGTGATTCTCATTTTGTGCACTTTCAAAGATCTTTTCAATTGTCAAGGAGGAGACAACAATGACTTTGGACTTGTTATTTGCTCGAAGTGATGATGTAAGCTTGAGTAGTGATGATCATGTAATAATCATTTTCCTGGCTGAAAAATCAATAATTTGATGAAATTCGATGATAGAGCTTTCTAAAACACAACAAATGTGGGTAGAGAAAATGAAAAATTAGGGCTTTTGGTATGAATTTGATTTCGTTGATTAGATTTCATGTGAAATTTCAAGGATTATCGGAAGATATGTTCTCTCTCTCCACGTTCTCAAATATAAATATGAATTATACTGATAAAAAAAATACTATTTGATAATATCACTTTATTAATATTATAATATATTTATACCTAATAAAATGTATATTGCTACCTGATTTTTGAAAAATAATAACTAATACCAGATTAATGAAATGGAAACTTGAAATACATGGTTTTTTTCCCCCCTTAATTCTAATGTTGCTTCAAACGGCCAAATTGTTTTACTAATCGAAATCAATAATTGTGGTGTTGATTTCACATTTTAATCATCGATGGAACTAATCGTTAAACATCATTACCGGTTGAAGGTTTATTTGATATAAAAATACCCAACAATTAATACTATACATATGAATTTAAAAGAAAGATTTAACTATGTGAACCTAATGTGATAAAACGGTTGAGGGTTCATTCACATGAAGGCAATGTGCATCAACAATTTTAAATTATGAATAGTTGTCAGTATTTGACCCAAAAGAGTTAGACATTAACTAAACAACGGGATGTGCTTGGTGTACGTAATATATGTATATAAGGTGTCCATACCCCTCACATTGGGTGGGGTCCACATTTTTATGGGCTCCACCCCATGTGAGGGGTATGGACGTCCCTATGTACATATATTATGTACACCAAGCACATTCCGTTGTTTTATGGGCCACACCCCATGTGAGAGGTATGGACACCCCTATATACATATATTATATACACCAAGAATATTTCCTAAACAAATATCCAAAACTATCTGTACAAATATCTTTGGTTGGCAATAGAATCCGGATTATCCGAATTAATCAATGAATATTACATATATCATTCAAAATTGAATAGTAATAGGAATGGCCGAATAGGATTATTGTCACTTTCCAATTTCATTCATTTCTTTTAGATGCAACCTAACTAGCTATCTAAGTGAGCCTAAATTAATTAGCACAATGTAAGTCATTAATTAGAGGACATTATATGAAACTAAATGCACAAGGAAATCTATTGAAGAAAAAAAAAGAGAGAGTAATACAACAGAGATACAGTTTCTCGTCTTAAAATAATTGATTTTAAAAAAATGTAAAACTAAAGAAATAACTTATTTTGTAAAATGAACAAACAAAGACGTCTCTATAATACAAATTTGATCCCCTATCCACAATTGACAGGATAAAAACTTCTAACTGTTGACATGGTATGAAAATTTTACTTATGGTTCTCTACAATAGTCATACATTTAGAAAGATATACTTACAGTTATTTCTATCGCATCAACTGTTAGAAGTTTTTATCCTGTTTACAAGGGTAGGAGATCAACTCTACTCTATAATAGTCGCTTTCTCCATCCTTCATGGGTGAGCAAATCTTTGATTTTCTCAAACATCGAAACATATGCAAAAGGCGTTTACATTTTTGTGGGAGAAATTAATAATCTTGTCCGACAACATCCATCAAGTAGTAGTATAATTAAAGCAACACGGTTTGGTCGTATGATTATAGAATTAAAAATAAAAGCTCTCCCTAATTAAACACTATTATTTTTCCAAATTGCAATTATAGACAAGCAAGCACTGTATCTCACAAATAAAAATCCAACAATTTTTTTTTTCTTTTTCATATTCTAAGTAAGAAAATACTGAGTTCCGGCCCTCCATTGCCGTCCGGGTTCAACATATAGAAAGCTTCCGAGTCACGGCTCCCCACAACTCGCTCAAACCTAGCTCTCATGTATAGCAGCTCACCTTCAGATGCACCGTTCTTCCGCCCGTCATCCACAACCGGAATAACTCCGGCACCGACTGATACAGTCTGAACGGTGCTCAGCACGTGCCAGTCTGAATCTGTGCATGCGCGTGAAAGAGCGTACCCGCAAGTCCTACCGTTACAGTACATAGTCCACATTGGCTCATTGAACAGCCTCACCGGAGGCCGGCCGCCTCGAGATGGCGGTGGACCTTTATCGCACTCCAAGGCAATCCTTACTAGCCCAGAAGACATCTCTTTCACCAGGGTTGACGTTGAAACCGCAAGTTCAATGAGTAAAACAGGTTCGGATCTCGGGTCATCTTGGACGGCAAAGCTGACATGGCCTCTCCGGTTGCCAAAGAGAGTCCCGGTGACTTTTCGGCCAAGTGAGGGTGTTATCGACAGTTGGGTCGGAATATTTAGCCATCTACACGTGGGGAGAATCGTGGGGAATGAGATAATCTGAAGGAGTGATCGAAGAAGCCCGGAGAATCCAGAGCGACCTCTGTGGCAGGCGGCGGTTGAGCTTCTCCGAACAAGTAGCCCTTGGTGAAATTCTTCAGAGGTCTCTGGATTAAGAGACGATAATTTCACATAATTTGCTGGGATGATCTTGTTGTTAGTCTTGCAACTATTTGTTCTAGCAAGATTTTCAACTGATTGTTCATGTTTCATGATGAAAATACAAATAATCGAGCTGGAAAACAATAAAATTTGTTGATGAAGAAGAACTATTCGAAAAAGATTGATGGAATTTGATCGAGAGAAGATGCACTTCTGTATGGAGAAAATGAAAAGAGGCCGACAAGGTGATGATAGTGTTGGGGGGGTGACCTATATAAAGGGAAACTATGGAGGTTTATGGTATCATTTCGATACACTCACGCTATATATATATATATATATTCCCGCAAGCCACTTTCAGACCTACACGTGCAAATGGCTTGATGTAAATGGGACCCATCTTCACTAGCGTGACTAAAGACTGAAAAAAAAAAAATTCTTATTTTGAAACACTAAATTAATTTTCAATTTCGAACAATGAGTATATAATTCATTAACTTGCACGATTACTTGTATATCAGTACCTTTTCGTGTCCAAAAACTTATATCGTAGTTTAAATCTTTCAAATTTTGCCACCTCTTAAAGGAAATAGGAGGAGTGAACTCGACCACTTAAAGATGAGATTCAAAAGGGTAAATCTAACCTTCTTGATCGTCTAAATTACTTAAAAAAATATGTCATAGTATTTCACGTAAAAACACAAAATATTAATGTGTTTTGTATATTAAATTGAGCAAGCACAATTGAGATTTTTTATGAATAATTTAAATTATGAATAGATATAAATGAGTGACAAATATATAGATGGTATTTGTGAATCTACGAAATTTATGAATAAAAAAGTTATTTTATAATTTATAAACTTGAGCTAAGAATGGAAAAAACACTTGGGGTCTGTTTGAGTGTAAGAGTGAAATTTGTATGGAAAGAAAATGAATTATAGGGAATTGAATTGTTTAAAATTATTTTTCTGAGAATTATCAGTTAATTGTATTTGATTAGTATAATATTTCAAGTGAAAAATATTGAAATTTTGGATCTTTTGGTGTTTGTTTTTTTTACATAAAAATTGTCCATTAAAAGGATATAACTTGTTTCAATTGCTAAAAAAAAGGTGAAAAATCACTTTCGCACTAAAGTGGTGGAAAAACCAATTCAATGAAAATCAAGAAAAGTGGGCCACGTGGGGTGGGGTGGGGTGGGGGGGGGGCTATTCAAACAAGCAAAAAGTTTGAATTTGAAAAATAATTTCCAAGTTCCATGAAAAATAGTGCATATCAAACAAGCCTTAACATTAAATTTTTGTTCGGCAAATGGGACCCATTTTTGTATATAATTGCATGTTGACATTATATTAGAATCACTATAGGTGGTTGTACATGAGTCTTTCTTTTGCTCAAATCAGTGGAGAAAGAAAAGCCATTTTGTTAAACTCAAAAGAGCTAAAAAGACCCAAAAGTCTATATCCTGATGGGATAAATATGCTGAGCGCTATGAAGTTGAAGTAGTTCTTTTTTCCCTTTCATTGGTTGGAATTGACAAATCCTCCACTCAATAACCAAGAGCCTATCTGGGTAGTCGTTACACCATTTGTACAAGTCGTTACTTATGCAATAAGGAATTCCGTTACCTTATGACATTTAGAGTTACTATCCCTATTTACTAGGGTTTTCATTCAAAACCCCAAAATCAATCGTGCAAATATAGTAAGACCCTGTTTGGACTCCATTATAATGTGCTTTTGAGAAAAATATATTTTGAAATAGTGATTTTTTTTTTTTAAATGAAAAGATGAATTTTGGATAAATGGAGCCCAAAGAAGGGTTAAATGTTATGCTAGGACTGCAAAATATTCTACCTTCAAATTAGAGTGATAAAAAATAACAAAATATAAAAAGCCAAAAACAATATTATAATAGAATAAAAGTGCCCCCCGGGGCACATCCAAGTTGGCAAAGGATGGGCATTGCTGGGCTTGCAACCTCAAGGTGGGGAGTTCGATTCCTGGATGGAGCAGCTGAGTGTTGTAATATTCAATTTGGGTGGAGCAGTTTGGTGATGTAATATCCATGGAGGAAGGCTCCCTTGGGGCCAGGAGTATAAAGAGTGCACAAACCCTGGTCAATTTGGGCATATCCCGCGATTAACCTCCACCCATCACTGAGGGGCCGGGGATGGATGGTCCAGGACATAGTCTGGTGTAAGCTAGGATACCTGGATATCAAAAAAATATATATATACAAAATGATGGCGACGTGGATGACGATTGACAAGCACACAACAAAATTAAAAAAATAATAAAGAATTTAGTCAATGCAAGAAGCCATATCCCCACCCATTTAAAATGGCAAACCAAAATGTTTATTTTAATTATTAATAGTGCCCTAATTTTAATTTAATTCGGGTCGGTTCCAACTTCAAAATCATGTTTTCTTTTGGGGGCTATGGCCTATCCGATTGGTTGCCTAACCCTACGACGGTTAAGATCCATTTGACTATTGTTGCCAAATGGAGACTCTTACAACCATTAATGGACTTCTCGTTGGCAATGTTTCCTTTGGTTACAGGGAAACATAAAATGAAATAAAAAATATTACTATTATAATGTTATATTAAGACATGATATACCGTTTAAAGTATGTTTACGGACCACAAAACTTGTTGGGTCACTTGCACAGCAATTATTAATTAGCAAAATTAATAATTTTCAAATTTGTAATTGACAATTTCCTCTATCAAAATTATGTCCTAACTGAATTTTATTAGAAGTTTATCAAGTTGTAATCAAAGCCTAAACATAATTTATTGAGTCTAATTTATATTAAAAATAGTTTGGGGTTGATAGTCTTTAGAGAAGTCAAAGATGTCCAAAAAGATCACTTATGATCAATGAGATGAAATTAGAAGTCAAAAGAGTGTTAAAGCGTTGAACAAGTTTTGCTCCAAATTCTCAACTATAAGTTGCGATGCATTTTTCACACAGAAAATATTCGAATTTGAAAAATGGTATTCTTAAAAGAATTGTAACTCTTTGAGTTAGATTTTCAACTCACTTTAAATCACCTCAATTGGGTATTGATAGAGAAAGTTATGATAAAAATACTGATTGCTGCTCAGGAACTGCTCTCTTGGTGTTGCCCAAGCGCTCGAGCAGCATATTAATATGAGGAACATTAATATTCGATTTCAAACCTGATTTTGAGTTCATTTTCATCTCAAACTCTACCCATTATAAATATAAAGCACATGGTCCTTCCCAAAGTGCGTTGAATCATTATTTTACCTTAGATTTCTTATTATTAAAGATCATAAACACATTCCTTTGATTCTTAGATTCAACACAATATTCATATATTCATTTCTTAGCGATTTACAAGTTAGGTAGCTGAGTCATATAAAGTTTAGCAATGTATGGATTAATTATAAGTTAACTTTTCTAATTGATTGTTTACTAGCAAGTTTGTTGGAGTTTTTTGATCTTGAGTTAGATTTTTCCTCCGTGATCATATATTGTCTTCTTTACTTTATTTTTATTTTTTTTGATATGATTATTTAAATTGCTTATTTACACACAGGTTTAATCGGATTACTTAAACTTAATCATCTAGAGACATTAATAAGTAATTTTTTTTTTTTTTTGCTTGTTATTGTTTTAATTCCGCTTATTTGGGTCTAAATAAAAAAAAAATTCACATAATATAGCGACAAGATTTTAATTTTTATTTCGAATTGAGTCCCTATTTGGCGGAAAATAAAATAAGATTTTTAGTACATTTTTATAAAAATAGATGAAATATGCGATTGAATGGTTGTCAATTCCATGAAATGTGTAATTAAAATTAATTATTAAATTTGATTTAGATTAAAATTTGAATTTAAATTCCTATCGAGCAGGGACCTAATATTGTCTATGTGGAAGGACGTCATTTTTGGAGTTGCAAATAGCTACAATTAAATAGGCCTTTTCATATCTTCATAAAGTCCAACATAAAGAAAACAAGATTCTTAACTAAATTAAAGGTCTAACGTTTAAACTAATGGGAGATTTAATATTAAAAAATATAAAAGTTTCGTCGTTTGCGTGAACGACCATTTCACATTTAAACTATCTACATATATTTTTGTTTATGCATGTGGATGTGAACAAAATACACATCTGTATCACCTAAAATTGTAAATTAGTGATTAAAATACAAAATAAATGATGATAAAAATGTAATTATGGAGAATATGAAAGAGACTGGAAAAGCAATTATTTAGACTTGGCTCATGTTGGGTTAATGTTCAGACTGTCAAATAATTTTTATACATATTATTCACGGAATCCACAAGTATTATTCATTTATTCGTCCCATATTTCTATCTATTTTTATGAAAACTTCCAAAACATAATTTTAACTTTTTTTCATCGTCCCTTTCAAGATATAAAAATGTATCAATCGTTTAACATGTTCAAAATTGACGTTCCACATTAATTAGACAAGATTTTGAACTCACGGTGAATTGATAGCTTAGACTCCTATATACAAAGTCGGACATGAGGCGAGACAAGTGATGGTGAAAGTGGAATTGTGGTGATTAGCAGATTGAGATGGTGGGGGTCTATAGACAACAACGATTGTGGTGGTGGAGTTGAAAAGGAGGTTGCAATAGTAGCAGGGGATTTGTGATGATTAGCAGATTGCGGCGATGGTGGGTGATGGTGCAAATAGGCATCGATGGCAATGACGATGGTGCAACGGTGACAATGATTATGATTTTGATGTCGATGATGGCGAAAAGAAGCGATGGTGGCAATATAACAATAAATGTTACAAGTGGTGAGTCAACAATAGTAGTCCAGCAATTAAAAATTAAAATTATAACTGGTGGGGGTAGACGATGATGTGGTGTAACACTGAATGTTACAAGTAGTAATGGAGTCTACAATCGCGATGAAGGTGGAAACATGCAGCTAATTTGTGCAACATATTGCCTGATGAGTTATGACGACAGCAGCAGTTGAAACATGGTAGTGAAATGTGTGTAACATACTTTTACAAATGTAACACACCCCTATCACAAAATTTATTGTAACAATAAATATATAAATAAAAACAGTATTTTGAGAATTAAAAAAGATTTAAAAGTAAAAATAATATTAGTAAATTTTTAAAGGTATTCATGAA